CCCCCGCTCGTCGTCCGGGAGGAAGATCAGGCGGCCCTTGCGGCGGTCTACCACGAGAGCGAGGAGAATGAGCGGCGCAGGGTGGAGGTGGTGGAGGAAGAGGAGGTTCGCTACGAGGCGGCCATGGCGCGGGCCCTTGCCTTCCGCGGCCGGCGATTGCGTGGTGCCGCCGGTGGCCCCGCCGTCCCCTCCCCGACGGCTCGTCAAGGCCGACCTGGAGCCGCAGCCGGAGCCCATCGCGCGCTTCTCCTGGACGGGAGTCGTGCCCGAGTGGGTGTCCGCGCCACCGATTTGGATGGGGGCGACCTCGGCGCAGGAGGCGGCGTACCTCGAGATGTGGCATCAGCGATGGCTCGCCGAGGAGCGCCGTCGCGGCGAGTATGAGGAGATGCTCGAGCGCGACCTCGAGGAGGAGGCGCGCCAAGCCGCGGCTGCACACGCGGCCGGAACAGCCCCCTGCGCCGGCACTGCCCCCGCCGGAACAGCTGCCCGCGACCTACATCACCGCCGCCTGGAACACGGCGTTCCCCTGGGCCAGCCCTGCGCCGGCACTCATCGACCTCATCCACCCCGAGGACGACGCCTAGGGCGCGCTGGGCAGCGTGCCGCCTCGTAGTTAGGTTGTTTTTAATTTCTTTTAATGCTAATGTGGACGCGTGGACTCTCGCCGGCCTTCCTGGCCGGCTTTAATGTTTAATTAAATTGTTTTCATTTGAAATATGCATGTACAGTTTTTTTTCGGCGCCAGCAAAATGGGTCGGGCGAGCGTTAGGCACATACGCCGACCCAAACGCGGAAACGGACGTCCATGTCCGCCAGGCCCAAACGAACAAAAAGCGGACGAAATCACCGTTCATTTGGGTTGGCCCGTTGGAGTTGCTCTCATGTAAGAATGTACCGTGTATGCCACAGAATTGCTAGCTCACTAACATGCATGCAGTCGAAGCGAGCTCAGTCGATGAATCAGCTATGTCAACACGTCAGCGGACGGAGATGGCAACAACGCCGGCCTCCTTCTTTGGCCTGACGGCATGCGCTAGTCCACCACCGCCTACCTCCTTCGTTGGCTCGACGCCAATGCTGATGCCCAACCCAACCGGGCTCGACACAAAAAACGCAAGCAATTGGAGCACCCTCGTGAGGACTGGGTGCCTGTGGATCATCCAGAATGGTCACCGCCAAGAAGATCTTGCGGCCCTAGTTATGCATTGATTCCTCCATGACTCACTCTTTGTTGCAAAAAAAAATGATTCTACTGTTTATTTGCATGTTTGACACAGTTACTGTCTTTCTTATTTTCAATAAAACCATATTTCTAGTTCGAAGATGTGTTAAGCGTTGACTTTCTAATGATTTAGAAAGTTGGGGGTGTACTAGTCTTAATCTTGCAGTGTTAATAAAAAGAAACTGCAGGGATCCACCTTGAGAACGGAACTGCAGGGATCTTTCCCCCCTCCCCTCTCATGGCGCTCCCATGATTGCCCAGAGGGGAACCCTAAATCGCAGCCCCCTCCTCCCCATCCTCTGCCCTCCTCCCTCGCCGCCGCCTAGCAGGACCGCCGTGCGAAGCCCGGCCGGCTGGGGCGGCGGCGGGGCCTTCTTCTCCCCTCCGCCCGTGGTCCATGGCCGGTGCGGGACGGCTTCGCGTGCGGGGACGCTGGCCTATGGCGGGGCGAGCGGCGTGGCGGCGCACCGTCAGGATGGCGTCGGAGGTCCCTGGTGGCGGCTCAGCGTCGACTTGGTGGGTGCTTGCTGCATGGCGGCTGCGGCAGGGCCAGATCGAGCGGTGGCGGGCTAGCGCGCTCCTGGCCAGATCCTCGCGGATTTGGTCCCCGGTGGCGACGGAGGTCCTCCTGGGATCTGCGTGCGGGTGGCTTGCAGCGGCGTGGCTGCAACCCGTGATCGCCGGTCTGCTCGCGCGACGGCGGGACTTGTTCCAGCGTGGTGGTCTGCGGCTTACTCGGGTGAGCTTCCTTCCTCCTCTACGGACTCAGGGACGGGCACGACAGGCAGGGATGGTTCCATGGTGCGGTGTTGGTGTGCGGATGGGCTTGCCGGAGGTGGCAGTGGACTTCGGGTAGGGGGCATGGGTTCCCCTCCGTTGCATCTGGCGGCTGCTCCGTGGCCGCCGGAGTTCCTCTGGCCCAGATCTGGCCGCCGAGGCCACCAACCCTGCCAAGGTTTCCGCTTTGGGGTGGAAGGGTCTTCTGCTCCTTTCCGGTCGGTCATGTCGGTACGGTGTGTCCGTGGACGGGGATGGGGCTCGGATGCTTGGGCGGCGGCCCTGCTGGTGGGAGCCGGGGTGCTTGTGGGCGTAGCACGCGGCTCGGGTGCTGTCCGGTCACCATGGCCGTGTGGGCGGCATGGTGGCCGAGGTGTGTCGCTCAATGGTGGTGGCGCGGTTGTCCGTACCCCAATTTGGTGACGGCGAGTGTTGGCCGGGGTGAAAACCCGCTCTGTCTTGTCAGGCCGGCGATGACGGTGTTCCAGCGTCGTTCCCTTCTTGAAGGCGTCGTCGCGGTACCTTGCTTGTAACCGTGGTGCTCCGGGGGAAACCCTAATCCTTGGATTGGGCGGTGGCGGCGATCCGGCGTCGTTTCCTTCTTGAAGGCACCGCCTTGGAGCCCATTGTTCATCATGCACGGCTTCTCCTCATCATAGTGATTCTTCAACGGTTGAGGGCCCCAACGACTTCATAGTAGTGCTTAGGGTCTTATCCAATGTTTGCTTGGAGTAGTTTGGGGTGATGTTGCTGTTTTCAGCGTCCTTGTATCTGCCTTGGGTGTGTGTGTTGTGTTGGTGTGGGGTGTGTGTTTGTATCGACTTGCTCGGTAATGGTTGCTTTATTTATAAAGCGGGGCAAAACCCTTTTTCTTAAAATAAAAAGAAAAGGGATAAGTATATTTTTGGTCCCTCAACTTTACCGACAATGTAAAAATGGTCCCTTAATTTCAAAACCAGACAAACATTGTTCCTTAACTTCTAAAACCGGATACTTTTCAACCCTCGGGCTAGTCAAGGTGGTTTTGGGGTGAGTATTGACCTTTGACCTCGCCACATCAGCGCCATGTCACACAGAACTGTTGAATCTCTCTTTCTCTCTCCTGACATGGGTCAGCTTGTCGGAGTTGTACATGTCAGTGGTGTTTGATGTGTCGTGGTATCGAAGAGCTGGTTTTTCTAGCTGTAGCAGGACGGCGGTGATGCATGGCCATCCAACAGACTGTACATTGTCGATCTTGGCATCTCGCCAAGAGCAACAGACACGCGGGAAGGACTGAGCTCGCCTCGACACGAATGTATAGAAGCTGATCGATTCCTGGACAAGCACGTACTTACACAACAAGGAAGCTGATTGTTTCCTCGACACGCACGTAAACAACAAGCAAAGCTGATCGATTCCTCATGTGCAAGCTAGGCACGCAAGCCAATTTGCCGCTGGCTGGGAACGCAAACGACTCACGTCATGTACCGTCGGCACCGACGAGGGGTGCGCGCATGCCGTCGAGCACGGGAACGCCATGGACGTCGAGCCGTGCGTGTTCGACCGCTCGGCACGCGCTGTCCATGCGCTCGGCGTCCTCTAACATGGGCACATGGCCTCGGCGATCGAGCATGGAAACGTCATGGACACCGGGTCGTACGTGTTCGACCGCTCAGGCGCTCAGCATGCACATCGTCCAAGTGCTCGTCGTCCATACGCTCGGCATCTAGCTAGCTTTTCACATGAACATCCAAAGCCAACTTTGTTGTGTACGTCAAGCCCGAGCGCCACGGCGCCTGCCCCCCTTCCGGTGCCGGCGGCATGACCGGGACGGTGAGCATGGCGAGGGCCAACATCCCATGAGCCAGCCAGCACGAACGAGCATGTGTACACAGCATACAGTGCGGTCGCTGCTCGTGATGTGGCAGTCTAATCAGGATGACATGTCAATTTTTTGTTTAAAACTGAGTCCACGTCAGATGAAAACCACTTAAAGTGATATGAGGGACTAAATTTATCCGGTTTTATAAGTTGAGGGACTACAGTTTGCCGATTTTGAAATTGAGGAACTATTTCTATACTTTCAAGGGAGTCGAGAGATAAAAATATACAGTCGGTCTGTTGCTTTTTCTACAGTCGGTCTGTTGCAAGGTATATAGCTGGATAAGTATATCGGTTTTACTAATCCTTAGTCGACTGACATTTTCTCAAGTCTGAGTCGATTTCCGGAAACGCAACTTACAGTCTTCTCACTAAACTGAATAAACTGAAGTTGCATTTTCTTAAGAATTGATTGAGACATAAAAAAGTGTCAATCAAACTGAGGCTTAGATGAATCCTATAAATAAACATATGAATAAACATTATCCTCTGTCTAGTCTTTGTCATTTGAATATAAATGTTACTTCCTCTCATCCAAAATAAGTGTCATAGTTCTGAACTTGGGTTAGTTCAAAAGTGCGACACTTATTATGGATCAGAGGTAGCATATATGATGTCTCTGTACAGGAAAGGACCTAGCACGTATGGTCTCGACATCAAGTTTCGCTCTTTCTACAGTCGACTGAGATTTTCTCAAGTCTGATTCGTTTTCTACAAATGCAACTTACGGTCGTCGCTAAACAGAATAAACTGAAGTTGCATTTTCTTAAGGATTGATTGAGACATAAAAAAGTGTCAATCAAACTGAGGCTTAGAAGAATCCTATAAATAAACATGGGAATAAACTTAAGAGTAGCGTTGACAATGACTAGCTGTTGTTGTACTACACACGGGCGATCGAGTTGTACTGTCAAGCAGTAGTACTACAAAAAAAAGTCAGCCCTGTACTCCACACCACACAAGAACACAAGATGGAGTTATCTTACTAATTAATTATGGGATTTTCTTCTAAATAATCATGCTTCAACGCAAGATGCGCTGAGGAGATAACTACATACGTACGTACGTACGTACTGGCCAAATATACCTAGAAACTCCTCTGCATATATATCGTGCTGGCCTTGAAGAAACCACCATGGCGAAGATGGCAAGGTCGACCAGGAGGACGTCTAATCTCATTTGCACCCTGCTGCTGCTCTCGCTGCTGCTGCTTACCTGCTTCTTCCAGCAGGCCAGCGGCCATGGCGGCGTCGACCACGGTGACGGCGATGAGGAGGACGAAGATGGCCACCACGGCGACGCGGGCGTCGGCGGGGGGCTCCGGTCCAGGGGGCTCATCGCCGTGAAGGTGTGGTGCCTGGTGATCCTGCTGGTGTTCACCTTCCTGGGCGGCGTGTCCCCCTACTTCTACCGCTGGAACGAGGCCTTCCTCCTCCTCGGCACCCAGTTTGCCGCCGGCATCTTCCTCGGCACGGCCCTCATGCACTACCTCGCGGACGTCACCGAGACCTTCCACGCCCTCACCGACAGCCCCTACCCCTTCTCCTTCATGCTCGCCTGCGCCGGCTTCCTCCTCACCATGCTCAGCGACGTCGTCATCGTCGCCGTCGCCAACAGGCAGAGGGTCAACCGGGCAGCTCCCATCCAGAAAGAGGCGGAGGAGGAGGGCGAGTCAACGTCGGAGGGGCCGGCGGTGGCGCACGCGCACCCTATGCTCATGACGGCGACATCGTCCTTCGAGGACGCGATCCTCCTCATCATCGCTCTCTGCTTCCACTCCATCTTCGAGGGGATCGCCATCGGCGTTTCAGGTGAACACCATAGATCCATTTCATAATTTTCAGGTGAACGGATAGTTTATGTTGTACAACTACACTTATTTTGGGATGGAGTGAGTATTTTATATCGGAAAATCAGAACTAATAGAGAAAGCGCACACCATAAAAATGCATATGTTTCAAAAGTTTGATCAAAATCAATTAATTTGCAGCGACGAAGGGAGAGGCGTGGAGGAACCTTTGGACGATCGGGCTCCACAAGATCTTCGCGGCGGTGGCCATGGGCATCGCGCTCCTCCGGATGATCCCCAAACGCCCATTCCTCCTGACGGTGCTCTACTCGCTAGCGTTCGCCGTGTCAAGCCCGGTAGGGGTGGGCATCGGCATCGCCATTGATGCCACGGCGGAGGGCTCGGATTGGACATATGCTATCTCCATGGGCATCACCACGGGGGTCTTCGTCTACATTGCCATCAACCACCTCATGGCCAAGGGGTACCGCCCGCAGCAGCCAAACTACTTCGACAAGCCCATCTTCAAGTTCCTGAGTGTGCTCACCGGCATATCCGTAATGTGTGTCGTCATGATATGGGACTGATTTATCCGTCGGTTAAATCAAGAGGGTGTTTAAGTGCTTTGATTTGATTGCTCGCATGCACGGTATGCTTAATTTCATTTTGGTTTCGTGTGGATCATTGTAGACATATGTACTTATCTGATTTAATTGCATTTGGTACATGTTTGGATTGTTTGTGTGAGTGTGTGATCATTTGTGAAATGAGGTGATGGATAATTAGTTAGTCTCTCCGATCCATATTAATTATCGCTGGTTTTGTACAAAATTATACAATATGGATATGAGGGAGTAAAACACGTTTTAACTTGGCCAATTATTATGTGGGGTTCGCTCACAAAGGGGCCTGCCGCATCTCAAGTTTTGCACTAACATGAGAAAATTAGATATTTTTCCCTGGGTCTATTTGCAATTACTGGAGATCAAGAAAACGTTGGCCTTGATTATATTAAATTATCTGAGTCCAAAACAATTAAATCGAGCGCCTTATTAAGTTTAAACTAACTGAAAGAACTGAAGCAAGCACAACAATCAATTTTATTTTATTTTTTATTAGGGAAGCAGAGCATTCAAATGAACTGAAGTTTTTTTTTCTTTTACATGCAGATGAACTGAAGGGCTGTGTATGGAGGAAGAAATAATATTAAGAAAAGCTTCTATTCAGGCCCAGCCCAACTTCCAGCCCATAGCTTCTTTCCTATTTGGTTTTCTTTTACCCTAACCTCAGTCACTCAGACTGCTGACCCGCAAAAAATAGAAGCACCTCACAGTAAAAAAAATTCAGGCGTCACAGTAAGAATATTAACTTGACCTGGAAAAGGTAGCATATAACCTCAACACAACTTAGTCAATATTTTGCAGATCTATGTCCTTTACTAACTCAGCCTCAGATTGTTTCAGAGAACATGAACATTTCTTGGAACAAATAAGATCATGACGACAGGCTACAGCTATGATCTGCAATTGAAATGACAATGATATCTTTCCTCCACATACAAAAAGAAATTCTTGCGGTACTACAGTGATAGCACATGCACCAGCAATAAAAGACAGAACAGACTGGTATCTTCCTTCGCCAACAACCAACAGAACTCTGCAACTGCAGCTCAGCAACCAGAGCAAAAAAAAATGGCAGGACTAGGACAGGACATGAATCATTGGCAATCAGGCAAACACAAGGCACTGCAGCAGCTACATGGACCGTTTCTGGAATAACAACTTCGATTGCAAAACATTGGATACCAGAATGGAATTGTAGTCATGCAGACTATCTATCACATCGAGCTGAAATGAATTTATATATCTTATTGTGATGAGGGTTGTGCAGCTCTGCTCCACATAAATTAAAAAAGGTCCTTGGATCTTTCCCTTCTGGGAGATATGCCAGCACATTCGATGAAGATATTTCACAAATGGTGATCAAAATTATTTTTTTGGGGGAAACTGTGACAGGAATATAAGGATGGTGACAATAGTAAGAGAGCATAAAAAAGAGAGTCATCTTGTTGGCTTTGTTGAATAAGACAAATAATAATAACCCCCTGTCCCTGGTAAAGAACAGCAATGAGAATGTGACCTTAATCAATACAATCATATCTAACTTAAGAGCTGAAAAAAATGTAGGCTGAAGCATAAAATAACTTGAATGATGTGTTATTGAATATCTGCTGCAGCCTGCAGCACCTACATTCTAACAGATCGTGGGTACAATCAACGATCCCTAAAGAAATAATTGAGGTGTGTCATAATATAACGAGTGTTGTGCAGCTCTGCTTCTAAGAAAACAAAAAGGTTCTTGGATGTTTCCCTTCTGGGAGATATGCCAGCAGAATTGATGAAGATATTTCACAAATGGTGATCATTTATTTTGGAAATTAAGACAGTAATGTAAAGATGGTGACAATAGTAAGAGAGCATAAAAAATACAGTCGGCTTGTTGCTCTGTTGAACAAGGCAAGAATATAACCTCCTATCATTAGTGAAGAAAGCAAGAAAAGAAGGATGAGAAGGTCACCTTGATCAATACAATCATATCCATCTGAAGAGCTGAAAAAAAAACTGTAGGCTGAAACAGAAAATACCTTCAGTGATGTTTTGTTGAATCTCTGCTGCAGCATCTAAACCTTCCAATAGGTCGTGGGTACAATCAACGAGCCACCCGTCACATCAGAGGCAAGATGTTATTTGAAGAAACAATCTATATATCATAATATGATGAGTATTGTGGAGCTTTGCTTCACATAAAACAAAAAGGTTCTTGGATCTTTCTTTTCTGAAACAACAGATTTGATGAAGATATTTCACAAATGCTGATCATTTTTTTCATTTTTGGAAAGTCTGATGAGAACGTAAAGATGATGACAATAGTAACAGAGCACACACAAAAAAGTCAACTCAACTGCCTTTGCTGAAAACGAGAGTATAACTGGTGAAGAAAGCAAGAAACAAGGATGAAAGGGTGACCTTGATCAGTACAATGATATATCCAATTGAAGAGCAGAAAATATCTTGAGTGATGCTTTATTGAATCTTTGCTATGGTCTAAACCTTCCAAGAAATTCTTGCAGTAGTACAGTGGTAGCACATGCATCAGCAACAAAGGACAGAACAGACTGGTATCTTCCTTCACCAGCCACCAACAGAACTCTGCAATTGCAGCTAAGCAACCAGAGCAAAAAAAAAAACTAATGGCAGGACTAGGACAGGACCTGAATCATTGGCAATCAGGGAAACACAAGACACTGCAGCAGCTACATGGGCTGTTCATAGAATAACTCCTTTAATTGTTAAACATTGGATACGAGAACGAAATTGTAGAATCACATAGACTGGAATGATTTTACTATCCTAATGTGATGAGTGTTGTGCAGCTCTGCTTCACATAAAACAAAAGGGTTATTTGTATCTTTCTCTTCTTGGAGAGATGCCAGCAGATTTGATGAAGATATTTCACAAATGGTGATCATTTTTTTTTTTGAAACTATGACAGGAATGTAAGGATGGTGACGATGGTCAAAGAGCATAAAAAAACATTCAGCTCGTTGGCTTTGTTGAATAAGACAAAAAATATGACCTCCTGTCCCTGGTGAAGAAAGCAAGAAAAGAAGGATGAGAAGGTGACCATGATCAATACAATCATATCCAATCATATCCAACTGAAGAGCTGAAAAAAACTTAAAAATATCTTGAATGATGTTTTGTTGAATCTCTGCTGCAGCATCCACAACCTTCTAACAGGTCGTGGGTACAATCAACAAGCCCTAAAGAAATAATTGAGATGCTGAAAACAATCTATGTATCATAATATGATGAGCGTTGTGCAGCTCTGCTTCACATAAATCAAAAAGGTTCTTGGATATTTCTTTTCTGGAACAACAGATTTGATGAAGATATTTCACAAATGGTGATCATTTTTTCCTTTTTTGGATTGCAAAGCCTGACAAGAACGTAAAGATGATGACAATAGTAACAGAGCACAAGAAAACAGTCAACTGAGCTGCCTTTGCTGAAAAAGACAGTATACGCGATGAAGTGAAGAAAGCAAGAAAACAAGGATGAAAGGGTGACTGATCCTCGTACAACGATATATCCAATTGAAGAGCAGAAAATATCTTGAGTGATGCTTTATTGAATCTTTGCTACGGTCTAAACCTTCCAACAAGTCATGGTTACAAAGGACGAACCCCCGTCGCATTGAGCGAGATGGAATTCGAAGAAACAATTGAGTGCTGCCAGCAATTTAAGCGCTCACTGTCCAGATGCTTGCATCTATCAGTAACAAAACTTGTCTTGCTGAATGATACTCCAAAATGCAAAAGGAAGACCAACCGTCTTGAATACGCAAACTGGAGGACATTTCCATTGCAACATCTCTAGTTCTGCTCTTCTATGTACAAAAACAGCATGCAATTTGCGCTCTACAAATCCTCTTTATCTCTCAACTGACTTATATATAGAAAACATCAAACGGAAGCAAACATCTGCGGCTCTCCAACATCTAATGTCGTAATATTCCCCAATGCGTGATGCAGTGATCACCTGGCGATCGCATCGGCGTGGCTATCTTGGGATCTCCAGCTTGTGCTGCGGCTCCTCAGACCACGGGTGAAAACCGAGCTCCACTCCGACCTCGAGGATGAGGCTCGAGTCACATTGGTAGAATGGGTGTGCCCAAAGCAAGCAAACATGTTGTCGAACATGCGTCTAATAACTCCCCTCTGCGACGAACGGCTCCCTCTTGATGACCATGAGATCCTCCTCGGGGCACCGCCATTGTTGAAACCGCCGTCCACCTCGGTGTAGACAACTGGGAGCTCCCTCTCGCCGGCCCTCCGGCCACCAGCGAACCTCCCGACGGCAAAGCCTCCTCCAGGAAGCCGCCAAATCGTCAACCCCACCGTCATCTCCTCCTCGCTGCCAGCCTCAGCCCCGGTGTTGCTGCCCTGGTCGTCAGCGCCGCCCAGGTCGCTCGCCGGAGCAGGCCGCGCCACGTCCGTGGGCAGCTCGTGCCGGCACACGGGGCACGAGTTGCGCAGCGCGAGCCACGGCAGGATGCAGTCCTGGTGGTACATGTGGCTGCAGGGCATCTCCCTGGCCTCGTCGCCCAGCTGGAAGGCCTCCTTGCAGACGGCGCAGTGGGAGTCGGCGCCGACGTGGCAGGCGGCGACGACGACGGTGGGCATGGACTCGACGGCGGCCTTGGAGGCCGGCGGGTTGTCGCAGGGGCGGACGGCGCCGAAGCCGCCGGCCTCGATCTGGGCGAGCTGCTCGAGGAGGCGCTCGAAGCCGGACCCCATGAGGAAGTCGGACATGCTCTCGGGCAGCGGGCGGAGGCCGGATCCGGCGCCGTCGTCGTAGAAGAGCTCGAAGCTGCTGGTGGCGCCGGGGGCCTCGTCGCCGGGCGGGGCCGCGGAGCGCCGGAGCACGATGACCGGGTTGTACGGGGAGCCGGAGCGGTCCCCCGACGCGCCGCCGCGCCGGCCGCGGCGGGGCCGGACCTCGGTGGGCGCCTCCGCGGCGCGGCGGCGGAGGAAGGCAGAGGGCGCGACGGCCCTGCGCGGCGGCGGCGCGTCCATCTGCTCCAGGAAGCCGCCGTCGCAGCCGGGGCAGACCAGGCCGGCGTCCCCCGCCGTGCGCACGAACCGCTCGCAGCTGTAGCACCAGTAGGACGGCGTCCCTGCCGCCCCCGCCGCCGCTGGGCCGGCAGCCGTGGCCGCCCACCGATCCATGGGAAGAGAAAAGGCGCGGGCTTTCCGCAGGACCAGATCCGACTGAGCTGGATAAGAAGGAGCTGGAGCTGGAGCTGGGTGGTGGATCGGAGCAGGGGGGAGGGCGGCGCGGGGGCAGGGGGGGATGGGGGAAGGGAGGGGAGGAGGTTGGGGATGATTGGTGGTGGGTGGTGGCGTTTTAACCGGCGGCGACTGGACCGGGCCGAGTGGAACGGGGAATGGGGAAGCGCGTGGGGCCGGGCTGTCAGACTGGCAGCGTAGGGGAGACGCTTCCTTCCTTCTCGTCTCCTTTCCTCTCCTCTCTGCCGTTGATGTCCCAACGCCGTTCGGTTCCCGTGCCACGCGCCGTTGTGCTTTTTTTTCTGGTTGATTTTTCGTTTCTTTTCCCGCCATTTATTTACTGGAAATTCTAACAGAATTATTCCTAATGGATGGACGGCCCTACATCGGCCGTCTCCATCGAGTTTGATTCGGAGGAGTGGTTGACTGTCGACCGGTGGCGACATGAGGGAGAGGCGCGCACCGCAGGACTAGTTAGTGCTAGGGTGTGTGATACCGAAGGAGCATTGAAGTTCCACGTGGCTCTACGCCGGTAACTGCGGCAGATAGCCAAGCCAAAACCACAATATGGAGTGCCATGTGGCTAAACACCGATAACTGTGGTAGATAGCCAAGCCAAAACCACAATATGCGAGCAAAAAAACAAGGGTAGCGGAGATAAACGGAGCTAGGTGTCGGAGCATGGGCAATATCGTTGGGTGTAGGCAAGAAGCCTCTAACCATATGCTCCCCAATTGAGGTTACCCGACATATGGAGCTCGAGCTACAAACGACATGTTTCTTTCAGTACCCAGTGAACAGATCCATGTGTTTTTTTCAGTTTAGTTGGACATAAGTCGCCTAATTTTAGAATTCGGGTTAGTCGATTTGGGGAAGAAGGAAGCGGACGAAGGTGAATTAGAAGGTTGATGGGTGCGGGGCTTAGAGGGAAGGTCTTGGTCGACGACAAGCTCGGTGGTGGGGGAGGCATGGGCTGGATCGGCGGCAGTCAGGGGAAGAGGGTGAGCAGTGCGTCGGCCTGTGCTAGAAGGCGAATGGGGATCCGCTGGATCTTGATCCAACGGTTCACTTTGAATCAACTTGTCACAAAACCTTTTTCCGTCCCCACGGTTTCCGTCTGAATCGACTTGTCGCAAAATTGTTTTCAGTCGCCAAGCCTTGTGTTTGCACACATTTTTTGCATACATTTCCATTGACACGAGCATGATGCCTTAGGTGTTAAGATAGATGGAGAACCAAATAGATGTATGTTCCGTATTGGTATCATGTTGCGTGGTTTTCCACCAATATATTTTGACAGCATAAGTATCAAGCAGCAGATGTTTGAGCCATAGAAAAAGGAGAGGCCAGCTTTGGTTTGCACCAAGCCGATTCCCAGCAGGCAGCAGCAGCATCTGTCACCAGTCCACCGAAAGAAACGAGAAAAAGCAGGTATTGAGACAGATGCCCTGAAATGAAAGAAATCCCAACGCAAATCTTTTCGTGGCGCCCATGATCCAGCCAGGGGAAGGAAAGTCGGCCCGGTCCACGAAAAGGGAGCCGGCCCGTGAACGCAAGTTAACGGCGTCACAGGGAGTGGCCGCCATGGAGTCAAAGGCCACCCATCTGGACGGAAGGACGAGAATGCCCCTCGGACCCGGCACGAGCAGGAGCACGAGGGAGGCCGCTAGGCCACGTCGGATTCGGACAGCCTGGCACAGTTGTATAGCTTGTGGCGGGCCCGGCCCCACATGACAGCCAGCGAGAATTGTCCGAGCTAGTAGTATACCAGCTAGTAGGAGTAGATGTCATAGACCAGGGACCCACCCACTTATCCCTGTCACTGTTGACCGGGCCCCAGCCAGACGTGGCTGTCGTGTCTCCTCCTGCCCCCTCCCGCCCGTCCGTCCTCGTCAACGTGCGCTGCGGCGACCGGCCGGCTGTCGTGGTTGCACCGGCGACGGCGAGGCGACGGGCAGGTTGCTTCGCCAGCAAGGAGACGTGAAAAGTGTGTGTGTGGGTACGCACGCAATTTCTTTGCCTTGTTGTATGTGCTACTGGTTGCAAATGGCTGACGCAGCTCAGCTCCAATAATCTATGGCAGCGGGGCCCGCCCACCTCGCCTTGTCCCTGTCCGGCCATCTCCCCTCCCCGCCCACATCTTTTCCGTTTCCTTGCCTTTTGGATTTGGAATTTCGTCCGCCTCCTTGCTGCCATGCCATGTCCCTCCTCACATTATATTTATTTTTCACATGGTAATACTTATTTAAACAAAAAACCATAGTACAAGTCAGGTAGACAACAACCCAACGACGAAACTGAGAATGCTAGTCTTTACACAAAGGAACACCAGTCAAGAAAAATAAATATAGGAAAAGCACCTGAGCTTGACACCAGCGCCCCCTCGTCCGCCCATCCGAGCTCGATGCGGATCCATCGCTAGTATGCAGTTTTGCGGACCTCCAAGGTGGCTCATCAAAAGAGAAGCCATTGTCGTTGACCGAACCGGTCGAATTCCAAATCTATCACCCCTGCACAACTAAGACATCAAAAGAGAAAACCATACCTGTCTACCACAACCGCGAACGGAACACACAATCCATCATCTTTCAAGTGTCGCGGATGCAGAGCATCGCTACTGAAATACCTCTCAAGCTCTGCGTCGTCACTGGGGCAAACGACGTCGCAGGACTACTTAATCGTCGACATCATGGTAGATGCTCAACTCACCAACGGTGCTTATTGACTGACAAAAACGATTGTGCATCATGAGAGTACCTCGTTTCACCATGCACCCAACGATGCTTACTTGGTGAACATGCATGTGACCCGTATTATCATATACGCGTGTGGTCGGTCGATGCATTTGTGACGGGTCCACAGGAGCACTACCATCAAGCTGACTGATAATCGATAATTAAAGGCCCGTTGAAATAAGCATAATGTCCCTCTCCTTAAAAAAACGCTGCACCAAACATATGTACTACCACCACTACATGTATGGCTAATTAAGTTCTCTTGATATTATTCTCATTTTACAGCAGCTATAATTTGGTTCCCCTGAATGATATTGTTCGACTTGCACAAACAAAAGGGAATGATATTATTCGAGACATCGCAATTACATTATGCTAATCAGTCGCCGTACATTACAGATTGTCACAATTTCTTTTCTTTTTTGCTGGTGTCAACATTATTAAGTCCTCGGGGCTTTGATTTTTTGTCCAAAAGGACCCTCTGGCCAACAGAATTGCCAAAAAAAACCACATGTCAAAAACATTGACAAAAAGGACCCCCTCAGCGGTGGCGGCAGGCGCGGCAGGCGACACGTGGCACCTGCCGCCACGCGACGAGGCGGCGGGCCCTGCCGCCACCGCCGGAGGCGGCCGCGCGGGAAATAACCGTGTCAGCACAGTGCGCCGAGCCGGGACGGAACGGCCAGGCCTGGTGGGCCACGCCGCCACCTAGCGAGGCGGCCTCTGTGGCCGCTGTCGGGCGCGGGCCGACCACTTGTGATGCTCGCGGGCCCCGCCTGTGGGCCAGGCCGCCACTGCAGGAGGCGGCGACACTGCTGCTGCACGCCGCGCAGACGGCGCTGATTCCCGTGCGGCGCTGATTCCGGTGGCGCAGATTTTCACGGGCGCTGCTTTTCCCAGCTCCTTGTTTTGCCTGCCACAAGTTTCGATGATCGGATTCCCGCCTAAACTTTGTAGTACTGATTGCTACGTAAACGACATTGATTAAAGCTGTGCGTGATTCTCGCTTCCGTCTATTTCTCCAGCCGAAGCGACAGCACTTAGGCGTTGTTGTTGCTGCGTATGATAAGACACCGCAATGCTGGAATCCGATGCCGTGGTAGGTGAGTTCTGGCTTGTTCTGCTGACAATACAGTGGTCCTCTTCTTTTTAAACGCACATCCGCGACTCCGTGCGCATACACTCTCTCTCGCATATCTCTGGTTGCCTCCTCTACCTCTTAGCTCTCTCAGAGCGCATACATAGACAGAAAGGAAAACTAGGTAGCCACTTTTACTCGTGATTTTGGTCGATTTGGAGTTTGATTTCGAAGATGATGAAGTTGAAGAAAAGTTAGATTAAGGTAAGATCTATCCATTTTTGTTGGTTTCGTTCACATGCATGATGTTTTTGTTCTGTTTGATTAGTTTCTAAGTGTGTATTCTCTGTTGTTTTAGGCATAATTTTAGCACTTGAAGGAGTCATTTGGAGTCATTTAGAGCTTGAGGAGTAGGATTTGCGTTGCGAAAGTGAAGTACGAAGTTGAAGATCAAGGTATGAGCTTTGCAATACATTTATTTATTTGTGCATGCAGGGTGGTAATTAGTTAGTCTTTTAGCTCGTCATTAGCTATGCGATGTTAGTGCGTAGAGGTTAGAAATAATTTCAGACGACAGATACAACATTTACAATATTTTTTATTGCATGCGGTATGTTATTTCATGTGGTATGTTATTTTATGCGATATGTTTATTAATAAGTCTATAGTTATGTCGCAATAATCTAAATTTTATATGTTAAGATTAGGTGCTAATGTACTTAATGATGTATGTAATTAGGTAAAATAATTCATCTTAGTAACAAACAAGGAGGAGAAGACGTGATTGAAGAAATTGTGTTTCCATTTTGTTAGCAGGAAGAAAAATCCGTGTGTAATATTGATGTTAATGTGATAACAGGTTGACTCCGTTCATATAGTACTGGCGACGGATATTTATTGGAACTATTTTGACGCTTAATTGCATTCGCAAGCACACCCATATTGGAGCTAAGATAAAAAAATGACACTGTAATTTTGTTAATATTTTTTGTATTGATGTACTATTGTGAATAATGTGCATGTTGCTGTAAATATTATTATTTGTAGATAAATGATTGTTATCGTATGATGTGAAAAAAATTATATAAAGCCGAAAGAAACTAAATGTTTTACTCATATGATATTAA